CCGGGGCGGGACCGCCTCGCGGTCGGAATATCCTGCCGCTCTGCTCCCGTGTTTTCGAGGCATTTTCCCACCATATTAGAACGTGAAGAACTTTGTCCTGCGCCCAGCTCTTCAGAAATGTGCCGACACTGCTGGCGTTAAGGCCACGTTCAGTTCTTGATAAGACCACAAGATAATGTTTTGCACGGTCTTAAGGGTGTGCAGAGAATTCATTCAAACGTGGGTCAAATTTGGTTCGTTCACACTTGGGTCAAGTTTTGCCTAACGAGTGTTGTTCTGTTTGCATTTTTAAACAGAAACCAAGGTGTACGTTGGTAACCTGGGAACTGGTGCTGGCAAAGGAGAGTACGAAAGGGCTTTCAGTTACTATGGCCCCTTGAGAAGTGTGTGGATTGCAAGAAATCCTCCGGGATTTGCCTTTGTGGAATTTGAAGACCCTAGAGATGCAGAAGATGCAGTTCGAGGCCTGGATGGCAAGTAAGTGAGATGCCAGTTACGAAACAGGTTCTGAGGCTAGTCTGGTAGGCTGGGTAATGAGGGGGGTGCTAAGCTTGGGTTCTGTCTAGAGCAGCAGTTCTCAACCTGTGGGTCGCGACCCTTTCACGGGGGTCGCCTAAGACCATCGGAAAACACATACATACTTACATATTGTTTTTGTGATTAATCACTATGCTGTAATTATGTTCAATTTGTAACAATGAAATTAGGGGTCACCACAACATGAGGAACTGTAGTAAAGGGTGGCGGCATTAGGATGGTTGAGAACCACTGGTCTAGAGGAAAATGTAAATAGCTAATCGTTTTTTTTGTTTGCTTTTTAATATATTTTATTGATTTTTTTACAGAGAGGAAGAGAGAGGGATAGAGAGTCAGAAACATCGATGAGAGAAACATCAATCAGCTGCCTCCTGCACACCCCCTACTGGGTATATGCCTGCAACCAAGGTACATGCCCTTGACCGGAATCGAACTTGGGACCCTTCAGTCCGCAGGCCTACGCTCTATCCACTGAGCCAAACCGGTTAGGCATAGCTAATCGTTTTGTTTGCTTACAAGAGGGAGTAGAGGTGGCCTTCAAAGGGCTACAAAGATCGCTGAAGTCTGTGAAAGCAGAGGGTTGGAAAGTTCCAGATCCAGGGGTCATATGTATTTTTTTAGCATTAGAATTTTGTTGCTTCTCTTTTACAGGGTGATTTGTGGTTCCCGAGTGAGGGTTGAACTATCAACAGGCATGCCTCGGAGATCTCGTTTGGATAGACCACCTGCCCGACGTCCCTTTGATCCAAATGATAGATGCTATGAGTGTGGTGAAAAGGGACATTATGCTTATGATTGTCATCGCTTCGCCTTGATTCAGAATGTCACGAGCCTTATGATATGCTGAGGCGCCTTGCAAATCCGACAATTAAGATCCTCCTAGACCTTGAGGTGATCAGCATAAGAGGCCAGATCCCCTCGAGTCATCTACACCTAGCTTCACCTTATTCTTTAAAGGGCAGAAAATTTGAGTCGGTGATCGCCGTAACAGTAAATTTGGCTTACAATTGGGGCCCCCTCCGGTTTAGAAAGAGGAACACCAGATTGACCACATTTCCAACTAGAAAAATCTTCTTGCGTCAATCAAGCCTCACCTGGCTCATTTGGCTGTCAGTTTGATCGTCGTTAGATTGAAGAAAACATCTAGATGCAGCGATCGGCTATAGATACTTCTAGATCGTCTAGATCTACTAGACCATGGGCCAAAGAGGGTCGACCTGCAAACTTGCAAGGTTTATTTTAAATACACATTACAGTGTTTTATATTATGTAATTCTAAGATGTAATTCAGCTTTTAACAAATCTTTTTTTAGGTAGTTTAAAAAAAAAACTGGACAACTAATAGGCCCAGAATTTATTTCCAAATGAGATAGTAAATTTAAATAGTTTTGAGACTTGATTTCAGCAGAGGGACAGACACTATAAATACGAGTTGCCATCTAACATTTTGTTACTTTCCCAACTTGAAAAATAGGTCACGGTCTAGATCACATTCGAGATCCAGAGGTAGACGATATTCTCGCTCACGGAGCAGGAGCAGGGGAAGGAGGTGAGAGATCTTTAATGAAAGTTTTAACAAGCAATAAAAAACTTAAATTGGAGATGGACCTAAACCTCTTTGATTTAATTTTTAGGTCGAGATCAGCATCTCCTCGACGATCAAGATCTGTATCTCTTCGTAGATCACGATCTGCTTCACTCAGACGATCTAGATCTGGTTCTATAAAAGGATCGAGGTATTTCCAGTATGTACCATTTTTTCCCCCTGCTTATTTATATTTGGGTTGTCACGTCTTAATGACAAAAGTAGAGTGTCTTAAGGACATAATTTGGCATGATGGGGTGAATTTGAGACCTTAGACAGGTGTTAGGGAAATAGTAGTGTACATATGGGTAAACATGGCTTGTTTAGCCATTTACTTTCTCTTGGGATACTTACCTAACAATCTAGCTCATTGGGTATGGTAGAAGCAAATAATTAAAATGGTAGTTCCTTATTTATTTGATACTAGACCTTGTTGAAAATGTGGCAACTTGTTGAATCTTAGACTGATAGTAGGCAAGAGTGGCATCGTGCTGAGTTTTAGCTTCTATTCCAAGCCTGCCTAATAAGGTGCTCAGAAGGTGTTTAGTGTGGACTAATTGGTATAATTTTTGTTTTTAAGATCACGGTCAAGGTCAAGATCAAGATCCAGGTCTATTTCACGACCAAGAAGCAGGTAAGGGTGAAAAGCTGAACAATGCTCTTGTAGTTATATGGCACCAATATCCAAAGAGTTCAAAGTGTTTTGAATTGTTGAGGCTTCAAGTGTTAACTCTAAGCCTAGGTGTTGAGTGGGAACACGGTACCTTGTTAATGAACTAAACTTGAGAACTTCATTTGTACATGGCCTCTTCTGGATGATTTCCTGGACAAGGGAATGTCAAGGTATAGTGAGAAAGCAGTTTGTAACTCTGGTGTTAAGAGGCCCTTGTTAGAATAGGTACATGGAGAAGCATTCTGAGATAGGTGAACTTTAGGCAGATGAATCATGATACAAGCAGTTCATTTTATGAAGGCTAGCTGGAAGATGGGCTTTTGTTAGCAAAAGCTGATGGGCATTTTTTTCCCCAGTTTAATTGCAGCCTAACATTTTAGTTTCAGGACAATTTGGGGGTTCATTTCATGATATTGTGACTGTAAGGAAGGGATTGGTTAGTACTTTTTCTTAATAGAATTTCTCATGTTTTGACAGCCGATCAAAGTCCAGATCTCCATCTCCAAAAAGAAGGTAAGCTAAATAATTTGTTGCCAAATTTTACTGTCAAATGTGGCCTCTGCAGGATTTGTTTGCTTCCTGCCTACTTTGCAGGCTTTGATTTTGAGCTCTTTGGAGAATTGGTGCTATATATATAAATACTAAGTTTCTTAAAGGATTGCTTTTCCTACTTATCACCTTATACTTTTATTGGAAATATTTAGTCATAAAATATTAGAATGACAAGATGTGTTTAGTCCTGTGAACCCTTAATTGTATAATTTCATGTTAAGACCCATGCTTTCCCCACACATAGGTAAAAAGGAAATGAAGAAAAATTTGTAGGTTGAAATCTTGAAGCTAAACTATTATCTGTCTAGTTGCTACTTAATTACCCTCCCAAAGAAAAACCCCCAACATTCGAATAGTTCTCTTTAACTTAACTTTACAATTTTAGCAAGGATGCTAATCTTAAACAGGGACAAAGGATTTGTATATAAATCTTTTTCAGAAAGAGGGAGTGTGATAGAAACATCAATGAGAGAGAAACATCTGCAGCTGCTTCCTGCATGCCCCTTACTGGGGATCAAACGTGCAACTTGGGCATGTTCCCTGACAGGGAATGGAACCATGACTTCCTAGTTCATGGGTTGCCACTCAACCAGTGAGTCACATTGGCCAGGCTATTTATGAATTTTTAGATCTCTGCTATAGAAACTTAGTTCCTTTGGCCAGCTTTGAATTTATTGAAACATGTTCGTAGGAAGAGTACGTTTCAATAGACACTAATGGGTTCCAAACCTAATGTTTTTCTTTTTAGTCGTTCCCCATCAGGAAGTCCAAGAAGAAGTGCAAGTCCTGAAAGAGTGGACTGAAGTTCTCAAGTTCACCTTTTAGGGAAAAGTTATTTTGTTTACATTATTATAAGGGATTTGTGATGTTTGTAAAAAGTAACCTAGGAAGGTTATTTCAACCATCTAATCAAAATGGATCTGGATTATTACTCTGTAAATTCACAGCAGTAAGATAATATAAATTTTTGTTGAATGTATTAACATCTTATGGTTTGCAAATGTGAGTTTTTATTTGGCACATTTAAATAAAGTGTTTCTAACTAGATTTTTGATCTGTGTTCAATATTAATACTTGGTAAGCTTCAGTAGTCAACCTTGATATCAACCATATAAGTAGACCTACATTCAAAGTTTAATGGTGTGAAGTCTTCAACATCATTAACTATAGTATCTATACACTTGGAAAATTCCCTTTTACCTATAGAGGTTTGGGTAAAATAACTCAAATCCTCCTTAATAGCACGAATGCATCATGACAAGTCCCTGATTAATCAACTGGAGTTACATATTACCAGGCTAATGATAATGATCTGTCAAGCTAGAGAAACCACTGATTTGCCTATAAATAAGTGTGATGACTAAACCAAGAGCTTATTAAAGAAGTAATTGGACTCGATGCTTGAGGAACTGAATTATTTTTTGAGCTCTAAGTACAGTGACAGGTTTTCAGGCTGTTTGATGGGATGTCAATCAGAACTCAGTTTTAGGAAGTTCTCAGTGTTACTTGAGAATTTTATAACATTTTTGCATGTTTGAGGAATTGTCTAAATCTGGGACAAAATATCTTCATGTAAACCAGCTTTGCAAAATTTTCCACTCTTTATCCCTTCAAATGGATTGCCTTATTTTGAGCAGAGATCTGTTAATTCTAAGCTAGATTTTTTCAGTTCCCAACCACCAACATAACTTATTTTGCCAGGCTGGTACAAAGTGATTAAGGATGTCAAGCAGAAATGTTCATGAGATAGTTTTGTAAATCTCCCCTATATTTAGCTATACCTTATTTATGTAGTTTTTTGGTAGCATCAGATAGACCTGAGACTATTCTAGCCAGTAGATTATTTAGACTAAATGTTTTTTGTAGGGCAGTAACAATTATTTGAGTTTCCTGGTCAAGCTTTTCCCAGGTATTCTCTAGTCTTGGTGCAAAAAAAAAAAAATGTGCAAAAACAATGATTAATGCTGGTGGCACAGGTATCTGCCCTTGTCCATTTCTTTATGTTTAACAAAGTTGTTGGATAGCATTGCAATGTGGTAATACTGCTCTGCCTCAAATTATTTGGTCTGAATGATCACTAGTATGTTGAGAGCTTGGGTACTTTGTTTTTGGAATTTTGAAAACTGGCTGAATTATGGTTGGTAAAAACTGTAATTGGCAGGCTTATTTGTTGCACTTGGTCGGCTTTAATTGTTCTGTATTATATAAAGATAAGTTACTCAAAAATAAATCTGCAGAAAACAAATAATCATACTCAATTTTTGGAAGTGGGAGTTCTGAGCCAAGAATAGGAATCATTTCTGTAGCTTTGGGACTGATTATTAGCAGTGTCCAAGATATTAGAATGAGGATAAAAGATAGTGTAGGAGGAATAGGGGCGAAAGTGGTTTGAAGAGACAAGCACAGAAAGTTCCATTCTTAGGGGAAAGGGAAACATGGTTAAGTGAACACCTTTCGTACCATTGACTATACATTTGCCTGGATTTTACAGAATTTATGCAGGGGTACAACTCGGTACCCTTGTATTTAGAATACATGTTAAAGTGTTACACTTTGGTGTAGTGCACTTTTCTACTTTTAGAGGTTAGGACTACTAAATAGATTATGTGACTGACTTGAAAAGTCTCATTCAGACCCGGTCAATCTAAATTTAAAGTCTGGCTCTAATTATTAGGTAATAACATGCCAGACATGCTTTGGACCAAGTACCTTACCTGGTCTGCTCACCCATGTGTAGAGAGGTAAGTAATGCGCTTCACAGTGGTAGCTAGGCCAAGTATCAAGTGAAAGTGTGGTCCTACATCTTGCAGTGTCCCATCTGAGTACAAATTTGAGGGTCTAGAAATGCTATCAGTTTGAGACTTGGTTAAGTAGTGGTGTAGGATTGTGATTGTCATCTTTTGTAGCTTGTCTTGAAGTCTAAAGGAGCACTTATTTCCAAGATTCATTAAACTAGTAGGAATAGGAAGCTAAAACTGATAAATTGGCAGTTATATGAATGAAGAATGATAGCAAAGAATTCATTAGATCTGGCTTAGTGAGCAACTGCTGCTTAGAGACCTTTGGAAGGAGGAGCTATGTAACCTGGAAGGTGTATACATAACTGGAAAGACATGAAACAAAAGTCAAAGGTAAAAAAATACTAGGGGCCTGGGTGCTGTTTGGAGTGTATTGAGAACTGATGACAAGGAAAGATGACTAGGTATTAAAGCTGTTACGTCCAGAATTACCTTCAATAAAGGGGGAAAAGTACTGATAGTTTCTTTTTTTAAAAAATATATTTTACTGATTTTTTACAGAGAGGAAGGGAGAGGGATAGAGAGTTAGAAAGATCCATGAGAGAGAAACATCCATCAGCTGCCTCCTGCACATCTCCCTCTGGGGATGTGCCCGCAACCAAGGTACATGCCCTTGGCCGGAATCGAACCTGGGACCCTTCAGTCTGCAGTCTGATGCTCTCTCTATCCACTGAGCCAAACCGGTTTTGGCTCCACCCCCCCCCCTTTTTTTTAATGTTTTATACTATTTATTTGCCAGGATGTTACAGAATTTATGCAGTAAAATTTTGTGCCCCTTCAATATGCCAGGTACTGCTAGCCTTGGAATACAGAAGTGAACCAAGTATCCTTATGGAGTTTAAATTCTGGAGAGAGAAATATCACCTCTAGATTCCCCGACTAAAGGGAATCTTAGTGACTAAAGCTTGAAGGTGGCTGGATGTGATCCTATACAAAAAATACCCTGTTAGTTTTTATTTTGGGTTGTAACATATCTTCAGGAAATCTGGATCCCA